ACAGCCCACTAGTCCACGAAAGCTTATGCTCTAATAAATTTGTTAGTCTTTAAGGTGCCACAAGTACTCCTGTTCTTCTTTTTACTTTTACTGTGTTTCCGTGTCTTAGAGAGTTCCATGCGCTACCACCAGATCTCCCAGGGACCCTAGGTTATCCAAGTATCTGTTCTCATATTTTAATCTGCTTGTTTAAATTTATGTGCCCGTCTTGTATCACGGCACCTGTATTTGTCATCCTCATCACACTTCTTCCCCACTCCATTTCTTTCCAGTGTTTTTTCCAGTCAAAAGCTCTAAAATTACTGTAACTAAAATATCAGAGGAAAAAGATTTCGCTGCTTCTCAGCGTGGTTACTTGGTGAATTTGACAGTACTATGTATAGTCAGTTTCAGTGCTTTTTTGATAGTCTGCTGCACTTTCTGTCTCAAGCACTAATAGAATTACCATTCCCAATCAGCGGCAGTCATTGTCATTAAGTATAATTAACCCTACAGAAAGTCCCTGGAGGCCATCCCACTTAAGCAGTACATTGCAGAATGACAACCGCCCACTCCCAATGAAAAAGCACTCTTAAGATCTTGAAGTTATAATCTTTTCCTACATATATACAAGTATTAATGTTATATACTATTCTCACTTTTCCCCCAACTGCCTAAAAATAACATTTGTAGGAACTTAGGAAGTGTTTACACAAAGAGCTCCCCCACTCCCCAAAGATGCATAAGTGTTCTAGTCATACAAGAAACAGGCTTTTGCCTTTTGCAAATTAAATTTCTGCTGCCCTTTGCACAACCAGAAGTGTTTTTCATCTCTGCATGCACTTTGCGGAATGATTCCTGTGGGCCTGTAGGTATAGGCACTATAGGAAAGAAGGGAACAGAGACAAGATACCAAACAGCTGCTCACTAAGTGATGGAGTGTGAAAGATACCAACAATTAACTACATCAACAAGTTGGTTGTACTGACTTTCTTATGGAATGCATTTTAAGTATTGACAACAGCAATCTTTGCATTTATAGAACTGGAAAATAAAGACAATCACTTAGTAATTACTTACCCAATTCACACTTAAGCAGGGGTTGAAGTTGAGCAAATATCGTATTTCTGATTTCATTCAGATGCGACTCAGCTTTTGGAAGAACATCTAAAAAAAAATCAGCAAAAAAAAATCTAATTCATGTTATATACCAAATATGCAAATCAATTCTCTGCAAACCAAGGCATTTTCTATTAACATTTGTTTACCCACAACATTTGAATGACACTTAACAGTTAAAGTTCTTTCACATAGGTGATTTGCAAAATTTACATCAGAATATGTAAAGCTAACTAACGACTTAAATGAATCAAATTTCTACTATGATCTACTCAATGGAATATTTTAAATTAATCTGGTCTATAACGTGTAAATATGTAAATTCATGTGTAATCTAAATAAACAATCAAGCAAAAAAACAATGTCAAGATTAAGGCTATGTCTACACTAGCACTTTTGTCCATATAATTTACATTGCTTGGGGTGTGAAAAACAAAACAAACACCCCTATGAGCAACATAAGTTACACCAGCAGAAGCGCCGTGTGGACAGCACTACGTCAGCAGATGCTCAGTTTACCATAAAACAATGAAGACATTTTAATGCTCGTGTCCTCAGATTAGGTGGTAGATTTCTTGAAGAACATGGTTTTCAAATTTTATTTTTTTTTGAAACTCAGATTTTTTGTAGGTTCTCAAAATTAATTCTGTACTCCAAGTGCTTCAAATTTGAGAAGGGCATGCTATATTTGTTATATAGAACAAATGCTGCTTTGAGTGCAAAACAGAACTCAACCTTAACTTTGGAGTCAAGACCAGAGCCTCCATAATTAAAGTGAGGACTTCAAACAGTCTTAGAAACTATTTCTTCATTAAAATCTTTATATACATAAATATATAGCTAAACTGAAATATAGCTAAAGTCCTTCCCTCCCCCCGCCCCCATGCTCCAGGCACTTCTGACATCTTTAAAAACAATCAATAAAAAGTAATAGATATCGCTTCTCTTCTCCACCAAAGCTAAAGTAAATGGATGGGTTTTGCCATGACCAACAGGTTCAAGTTATTACAGACATGGGAGCAGGGGAGACAGTAAATTCAGAGCCAAGGACCCCTCCTGGGGGGGGGGGAGAAGAGGAGAAGATGTTGGCTGGACATTCCTTCTTTTAAACCAAGGGGGCTCCTACTCTAATACTTCCCTGCAAATGAAGTAGTACCACACATGTAGAGTATCTAAAGTAGGCAGGTCTCTCATGTTATCAGACTTTATAGGTTAACACCAACCAACACTTAAGATGTCCACCCAGAAACCAATAAGCAATCAACGTAATCCTGGTGATTTCAGTGCAATTAGTGTATGATTTTTCATCTCAGATAAACAGGTATTAATACAAAGTCATGAATGTTGTTTCATTCTTTCAAGCAATTTCTCTCAAAACTACAGTACTAAGAGATTGGAGGTAAAAGGTTGATGGGTCAAAGTACAGACATTGAGATATGAGGGTATGAAGTTCATAAAGTGGCTATGTGCGGGTGTGGATTATAATGAGTGGATATGATGATGAGGATGGATTGACCCTCATTTGGTGAGATTTAATGTTCAGGGAGTTTATGGTTCCAGTTTATATGATCCAACAGAGGAGGTCACTTGGTCCCTTTCGCGTAGTGGGAGAACGATGTCACTCTGGCTCACGCCTTCTGGTACTGTCGGTGGCCGGCGATGTGCTCGATGTAGATGTCCCTGGACCATCGGATGGCATCCGAGACCATGAGGCGCCGCATGAGACGTGCGTAGCGTCGACTATCCCGCAGGACCGCAGCACACGCTCGTTGCAGGGGTCCCAGGCGCCCAGGGTTCAGACAATCAGGGCGTCCATCTGCACCTCATAGCCCTTCGCTCTCAGGGTGTCAGCCAGGAGGGCATACTTTTTCAACTTACGAGCTCGGGCTTCACGAAATGCCGGGGTTTTAAACCCTGCTCACATATACAAAAATGTTCTTCTGACCCCAAAGGGTCAGCCACATTACCAGGTCAGTATAGGTTTGGATCTTACCCAAAATACCACACTGCCAGCCAATCCTTTAGTGTCTAAAACTAAAGGTTTATTATAAAGAAAAAAGAAGATAAGATAAGAGATGTTAAATGGTAAAGCAGTCACATACAAAGACTTCAAAGTCCTTATATCAGGTTCCTAGCAGTATTGGTGAGTTTGAAAGTCACTCTGGAATACATCTACAGCTTGGATTGGTCATTCAGTCCTTTGTTCAGAGCTTCAGTTTGCAGCAAAGTTCCTCCAGAGATAAGAAGTAGGATTGAAGACAAAATAGAGAAGATGCACCTGCCTTTGATAGTCTTCTGCCATGCAGCTTGTGCTTCCTTTGTTTCAAACACAAGCGCCCAGCACATGGCTTGGAAGCCTTTTCTGTCCATAGGAATGCCCATGCATGCCTTGCTAAATCATGGGGTGTATCCCTTGCCTTCTCTCAATGGGTCAGTTGTATAGCTGATGGTCCTTAATGGGCCATTAAGCAGGCTAGGCAATGCTGATGCCAAACTGTCTGGGGGTGTCACCCAGAAGTATAGCACAAATTTAAAATACATACATATCTATAATTCATAATACAAAAGGTGATACAAACATTAACAAGATCATATATGGCAAATTATAACTTTTTTCAGATCTTACATGGCATATCTGGCATAACTCATTGCGATTTTTCAATATTGGTATTCATAATATCCTAAAGTGTCCCCAGATTTCATACAGCGCCACAGCAAGGTTGATGGAAGAACTCCTCCATCAACGTAGCTGCACTGACACGGAGAGAGATGGATCTAACTAAAATCACACAGGGCATGAAATTATTCACAGCCCTGAGCGATGTAGCCAAGATGACCTAACTTTGAGGTGCAGACCAGGCCTCAAATATCTGCTTTTAGAGAGGGTGCATATTCACCCTTACATAATGTGCAGAGATGCCATTGCATAATTTCACTAGTTACTGAGGACCAAGAAAATTTCATCTTTATCTTGAATTCTATAACAATTGCAGCTCACCCGTGGCAATCTTGAAATAGAAAGGAATGAAAACTTCTGCTTACACTATTAAATTCCTCTGCATACTTGTATCAATATTCCTGTACATTCAAACTATTTTGAAATAAAAAGAAATAGTGACAAAGTTACTCACCTTTTAGCTTATTTGTTTGGCAGGCATTCAAGAGTGCAGTCGCTTGGTTATATTTTGTAAACAGCCTCTGGATTACAGATTCTTCAGTGCAAGCTTCAGTCACAGCAATCCTTAAAGTTTTTAAGTGTACCAGTGCTGACAGAATACAGTCTAACCAACATAGAGCATATATGTTCCTCCACTGAAGACACAAATGCCCCATGAGCAATGAAGGTTTATTTTCTGCATGCAAGATTTCAGATTTTATTGAACAAAGTTCAGAATTTGGCAAAAGTTCTGTTTTGGAATTAGAGTCAGGACTTTCTTGTGCACCACCAACAGTAATAGCAGTTGCCAAATCCACATTATGCTCCAGAGACTCAGTCGCCCTATTATGTTTCTGCTGATCATCCTGTGATAAATCAGGTAGGCATGGCTGGGCCACACATAAATTATATCCATTACACTTGAGAACAAGATCAGTATTTAAAGTGTGCTCAGCATCTATCAAATTGTTGTTAGTCCTAGCTTGTTTTGAACATGATTCAATGGGGGAAGCTGAAGGACTGATTTCAAAAATCTTCCTTTTTCTCTGAGTACACCGAGTTTGATGATTTTCTGATTCAGCAGGAATTATTATGCTGTTTAATGGTTTATAGCCCAGAGGGTAGATGCACTGAAGGGAAGAAAGAAGATTACAGTGATGTCTATAAAGTATTTCTGGGTGAAAAATTTGGAAGTTAATACAAACAGTGCAGTTCAAATAGAACAGAGAATATTTGTATATTGACACATTATTAAAAACCATAGAAATCCAATATATGCATTAAGGACTAGAAGTGCATTTTGTCTGATAGCGCTCTTATAGAGTGATTGCACTAACAGAAGGTAACCTGATTAATGGAAATAACCAATATAAGACTCTCCATTATCCCTAGTTCTCTTCATTTCACCCTCTTCCCCACAGACCTCATAATATTCCCAGGAAAGGATCCCATCTCCTATATCCCAGCTAATTCGTAAGGAGAAGAACTCTATTTCTGCAGACCTTCAGAAGCTGAAAAATTACTCTCAAGCCCTTTGCTCTTCCAGTCCCATCTTATGGGTATTTAAAAAGAAAACCAGAATTTACAACTTTAATGTGAAATTATATTTGAGGGTACATTAAATTAATTTATGGGTAACAATCCTCACAAGACCACTGTAGCTTGTGAAGGAACAAAAACCACTCCCGCCCCCACAACTCCAACCATACCCAACTATTAAAAAGTAAGAATTCAGCTAAACTTAAAACAAAAATACTTGGAAGAATGCACATCTACAGTTTTCCAAATGATTTGCAATCCACCCCCTGCAGATACAAGCCTCCCATCTTCCCTCCTGTGTGTTGGAATACTGGAAATGTGGAACACAAAACAACAGCTTTGTAATTTGTTTCATACATACATCTTTAGTACTAAATAGGATGCCTTGTCTCACAAAGTACCCTTTGCTCTTTTCATGCAATTCCTGTAGTTTCAAGAACTGTGCCTAGACAGTTAGTACATAAAGACATGCTAGCTCAGTCTAATCATATATGAATAATTGTGTAGCATATGAACTCACAGGGGCCTGATTCTGAGACGTATTGGGCTGTGGGCATCATTTGAAAGATAGCAAGTGCTCAGATTTAGAGGATGGGGTTGCTAAAAGAAAGGTCTATAGACAATCCAACAACATAGAAAAATGATATAATACCTGTGGATTTTCACAAAGGAAAATAGACTCTTGAAAACTAATGCGGTAAGTTCGTAAAGCTTGTATCTGGCCCTTCTCTTTACAGGCTGGGCAGCACTCATCTGACGTTACTTCAGCAGAATTACAGTTCTAAAAAATAAAGTGCATACAATAATATGCTGTTCCTAAAAAGTAAGGTATAAGTGACAGCACTGAAAAACAATTGTTTTTTTTCATAATGCAGAAGCTATGTATTTAAAAGTTAAACTTGATGGTTTAGGATTTGATCATAGCAAATAAAATATACAGAGGAGATGGAGAGTTCTAAATTAGTTTTTCTCCTGGCTATCATTTTAAGTAAAAGTTTTCATAAGGCATTTTGTGTTAAAAGCTTATGTATTGAAATGGTGCTCATTTTATTTGCACTGAACAAAAAGTTATTCACTGCCAGTGAATATAAACTCTGAACACTCAGACAAATCACAGATCAAATGCTTTTGAAAATAATGCCAGTAAACAAGTTCAATGAAAAGTGTATTTAAAACAGAACAATCTTTCGCCATTGCTATAAGATTTCCGTGGAAAAATAATTTTGTAAATTAATTTGTAAAATTAAGACCAATTTAAAATCTCTCAAAAATAGAGAAAAATGAACTTTGCACACATGAAAAATAAGTTTCAACTGACTTTTCCCGAATACCCCACCATGTGGAGTGCAGATATCCCTATACCAGTCCCTTGTCCAATCACTTGCAAACCATTTCCAGTCTTCTGGGAATCCATCATGCTGTGCCATTGGCTAATTTATGTCACTTGTAACATTGTCAAGACCACTAAGGATTTTTCAAAGAACTCTGAAAAATAAGAAGCGAATACAAACAGTTAAATGAAAATTGTATTAATTTAAATTTAAAATCTGAATTAAGATTAAAGCATATTTTATATTTTCTTTGAGAATCATGGTGCTTTTCCTGATTAAGATTAACTGTTGTGGGTTTATAACTGAAACTGGAAAATAAAATAGCACCTAATTGTGATGTTCACATTCATTGCAAAATAGATGAATAATTTTAGGCCATGTTCCTGCAAGCTTCTCCATGTGGCTAACCCTGAGACCCATGCAGTGCCCTACTTATTTCAGAAGTGCAGTGCTCTGCCCAAATATAAGGGTCTGCCTGCAGAGAGCAATTTGCAGGATCAGGTCCTAAGTGGGAAAGAAGGACTATTTTCTAAAGGTGCAGACTGACATCAGAATTAGCAGATGTAAAGAATTCACATTGCTGTCGCTCATCAAGCGAGGAGCATTAAAGATCTGCTACGGGTTTTCCAAATGCTAAATTTAATTTGGGTCCATAATAAACTAAGAAGTTGCTCCTCCAAATGTGACTGTTTGCCTCCTAACTGCAGAAAGCAACTCTGAGGCCTGGTCCACACTAACCCCCCACTTCGGACTAAGGTACGCAAATTCAGCTACGTTAATAACGATAGAAGGAGGGGCAGGAAAGCACCACACTGGGGGAAGAAGCGAGGGAGGGGGGAAGCTTGGCTGCCACAGGACCAAGCTTCTGCCTCCTGCCCCCGCAGGGGAGAAGCGGTGGGCGGGCTGAGTGGGACTGGGGGCCAGGACCGCGGCAGGCAGCAGCATGCCACTCAAAATCTGCTTGTGTGCCGTGTTTGGCACGCGTGCCATAGGTTGCCAACCCCTGATCTAGCCCTTACGCTGACACATTTATGCAAAAAATCACTTCATCCAGCAGTGAAATTCATCCGTATCTATGATGAAAGGTAGCAGAACACAGCAATTTAGACAAGGTCCCAGTACTGCACCTATAAAAGTTAACTAAAATTCCCTGCATTCAGTAGGTGCAGGATTAGACCAAATGTATACAAAATATCATATCCCTTTAAACTTTCCTTAAAACTTCAGGTAGGTGAAATACAACTGGATTTTGTCCAGGTCAATGAGGTTAACACCCTCATATTCCAGGGCTATTTTTCTTTTTTAATGTCACATCTGAAACATGACATTCCAGCAGCACAGTGCCCCCCACAGCTACCATGCTGGGGCACTCATTTATTTCTGACTCAGAGGAAAAAGGTGCTACCTACTAAATCACCAACTCCACTTCCTGCAGCACCTAAGGGTTCTTTGGAGTTTCACCCAAATACCAATCCAGCCCCAAATCATTTAGCTTGTGAGGCAAAAGCTGTCAGGACCACTACTTAAAAAAAGTACAACTACAGACCATAAAAGCATTTATTCTCTATTTCAACTCCACAATAGCAGTTCTGAACACCACCACCATCAGTTATATGAAATTAAAGCATATGCATGTTGTGAAGAACGTTGGGATTAAAAATAAACAATGATCAGAAAAGTTTAAGAAATAACACATTGCTGGACTCACTCAAGGTAATATCTTAATGAATCAACAATAGAGCAGCTCTGCTGGACTATCAAGCAAGCCAAGCTCTCAAACTCTCCATCCAATGTCATAATATTACCAAAGTACATGCTTTCACGGATTTATCATTGCTACATACAGGGGGGGAAAAAAGTCATGTCAGTAATTTTCAACTGTTTACCTCCCAAGATCAATATCAAAGCCTGGAAAAATGTTAAGCAGAGCATGTACACCAAGAAAAGCTTCCTGACTGGCTCAGAGATCTATAATTATTTAGTCACACTCCCGAATGATAGCATTATCATCTTTCTAGAACGTCATCTTAAAAAAACCCTCCAAACCTTGTAATTCTTATGAAATTCTTGACCAGACTGACAGACATCTAGATATTTCTGATTAAAGTTCAAAAATATATATTACCACCTATTTTGGTTTGGTTTTCATCAATATTTACCCTTAGCTTAATAAATGTTGAAGTCTACCTCAGTGGAAGTCCTATTCTAATCAGTGTTCCACTTTCCTGAAAAAGCAACTTCAGGTTCAAAAGCTTCCTGTGTACCTCCTCATCCAGTACCATCACCCCTTTAAAAAAAAAAGCACTGAAATGCTGTTTTGTAATGTACATCACTCAAGCAAATCACAACAACCCATCTCCAGCAATGATACACTAAAATGTGCAACAAACAACATGGGCACACACACTTAAGAGTGGGTACAATATATTTTAACTACAAATATCCTTTTACGATGGGGCAGGTAGAGCAAACAGAGTGGGCTCTGCAATTTTTTTTTTCTTCAAAGTGTGCAAAACAAAACAAAACAGTGTAACATCAGCAATGATATTGGAGTGGCCTCCTCATAAGATATTGGCAATTCCATGTGATAGGTTGGTGTACTGGATAAAGATTGACTGCGGCTGACATGATGCACAGTGGAAAAGAATACTTGGAAATAGTTACACTTAATGTTGTCCTAGTCTCACCATCACCTCAATATCGCAAAGACATAACTAGAGGGCACCTACATGATGTATTTTCAGACTCATGAGGCCTCATTTTTAATCCCTGGTTCTCTTTTCTTTCCTGCTCAGCACCGGCACACACCACTTGCCAAACATGATACTAGAGCTATACCTAGCTCTTCCTACACTGATATAAGCAGACCCTGCATTTAAAAAAAAAAAAAAAAAAAAAAAAGAACAAGACACCAATAAGGAGAGAGACACACTTTAAAGACTTTTTTTTTAAAAAAACAGTAATTCATAAGTCATAGTTTACATCTCAGTATATCTCAAATATATGTGCAAATAGTAACACAACCATTGTAAACTGAAAAATATTTAAACACAAATATACTGTTTGCATTTTAAAACTATTGCCCGGATTCTTTGTTTTAGAAGCAAGACAAGTTTATTCCGCAATGTAGGATACTGAAGCTTAGTCTATACTACAGCGTTAAGCTGCCTTAGGTCAGTCTATGTCTACCTAATAATGTCAGTGTCTACACTAAAATACTGCTTCCACCGAAGTAACCCATTACACCAAAATAACTCCACCTCCACAAGAGGAGTAGCGCTTAAGTCGATGTAGTTAGGGTGATGCAATGTCTGTGTAAACAATGCATTACTTACATCAGCTGGTGTACAGAGGCCCCCCGCCCAGCCCTGGTGCTGACAGCCTGAGCTGTCAGTGGGACAGGGGCTCACAGGTGTGAGCCGCTGACTCCTGGTGAGGGATGGGGCAGGGGTAGGATGACAACCTGAGCCCTATCACCACCCAGACTCTCCTCCGCACCAATCCCTCACCAGGAGGTGTCAGTCTTGGGATTCCCCCCCCCCCCCCGGCAATCCCTTGACTGGGAGGTGGCAGCAGGGCTCCTGATGTCAGTCCCAGCAGTGGGAGCTCTCCCCCCGAGCCTCAGCAATGACGGTCTGAAGCCCCGCTGCCGTCTCCCAGTGATGGATTGGGGGGAGGAGAGCCCAAGCCTGGCCACCATCTGGGCTCTTCTCTCCCTTCCTCCTTCCCCCTGCCATCCCAAACTGGGAGGCAGCAGCGGGGGCCTGGCTGCAGCTCCATTTCACAGCAGGGAGCCTACAAGCTGTGAAACTGACATTCTTGTTAGTTTCATGGCTGCTATTATTTCACATTTTGGTTCTGGCTGTCAGTCTTGGAGTCTGGGGGAGGGAGAAGCACGCTCCAGCTGCCAGCCCCACATGGGTCTAACAGCTCGGGATGTCAGCCCTGGGGTGGAGGGGGCCTCCTGTTGTGAGCCCCCCACAGGCTAACAGCTGGAGCCAGAGCCCAAATGTGTAATAGCAGCAGTGAAACTGACAAAAACGTCAATTTCACCGCTGTAGGCTCCCTGCTGTGAAAGGGAGCCCAGTGCTGGCTCAGTTTCAACTGTCTGCATGGGGGCAGCTCACAGCTGTGAGCCCCATGCATACAGCTGAGGTTGTCAGCCACAGGGCTGACTGGCTCCAGCTGTCTGTGTCCCACAATGCCCCACTTCAATCAGAGGAAGCACTCCTGGTGAGGACATGCACCACCAACAGAAGGAACAAGTGTGGACATGAACCATTGCTTTCATTACCGCAGTGGCTGTATGTCAACTCAAGTTGATTTAATTTTGTAGTGTAGACATGCTCTTCGTTGGAACGTTTCAGCCCCAGATCTACAAATTAAGAATCCCTTGCAGGCAAAGTACAAATCCTAGGCCAAGAATCTCCATCAAAGATCCCAATGACCAGTTCATTGAATATCTGACATTCTCCTCTCTACTGTCTCAAGGTTAAAAGAATACCAAGAATAAATTTCCTGCAAATGATCTTGTTATTCTTCCTGTCCCCTCCCCCACTTTACTTTTAAAGTAATCTCCATTGGAAGGTATGGGTGAAAGGAGAGGTACAGAAAAAAAAGTAAAACCACAATTAAAGGCCCAGTGGAAAAAATTCAACACTTATACTGACCATATTAACAACAAGGAGTCCGGTGGCACCTTAAAGACTAACGGATATATTTGGGCATAAGCTTTCCTGGGTAAAAAAAACCTCACTTCAGATGCAACCAGACTCCTTGTTGTTTTTGTGGATACAGACTAACACGGCTACCCCCTGATACTGAACATATTAGTTATATATTCATTTTTTATGCAAAAGGAAACTGGATAATTCAATTTTTCCCCCTTTGCTTGGAACACACAAGAAATCATTTATCAACTAACATATTATGATTTGAACAAACAATATTTTAAAACATGGTCACTTCAGGAACATAACCACAATTTACTTTAAGTGCAAAACGAATAAGACTGTTATTGTTGATATTGCATAAGGTACAACACAGGACCTGTCCTGTCCTGTATACACTACAGTTCAAATAACCTGCCACAATCGAGATTCCTTCTAGGAAAAGGCAAACACAGGCCTTGATCCTGCAAGCTATTTTGTAGATTCACACAGATTTGGGGTGGCAGGGGGGTAGGGAACTGTAATGAACTGCAGTATAAACTGGTTCACAACACCATGCAATAGTCTAAGGGCTTGTCTACACTGGCAAGTTTTGTTGCCAAAAACTGCCTTTTGGCAACAAAACAGCAAGAGCACACACACTACAATGGGACTTCTGTCGCAAAAAACGTCCAGCTTTGGCGACAAAAAACTTCCACCCCTAGGAGAGACTTGTGTCTTTTCCCCTCCCTTTATTGTCGACAAAGAGCCAGTGCAGACACTGCTGATTGTTTTGTGGAAAGAACTGGCTTCTTCCAGTATCCCACAATGCCTGCCCTGATGGCTCTGCTCAGTGTTTTGATCTCTGCTGCCCTGCAGGCATGCGCCCCTCCCCTTTCAAAGCTCCGGGAAGTATCTGTGTGCTGTTCCCTTTGGGGAACTAACAAAGAGCAAATCATGGGAATGCTCCTGTTCTGCCAGGCACTAGGAACAGAGCAGCAGGCAGACTGCTGCTGCAGGGGGAGGGGGACAGACTGCTGTGCTGCTTTGCCATTGCTCAGCACGGAGAGCTCCTAGAGCTACTCATGATGGTGCTCTCAGCAGCTGAGGGGGCTGTGGGAGAGAATCCCAAGATGAGCAGCAATCAGCTCTTCCTTCCCACAACACTGCACTGTGGGATACATACTCACGGTGCATTGCTCAGCCAATGTGGAGATGATCTGTCGACAGAGGGAGCAAGTGTGAACATCCCTGGGAGATTTTTGTTTTGTCAACTTTTGGGTGTCAACATAAGTTTTGTCAACAAAACTTGGTAGTGTAGACAAGCCCTAAGTGTGCCCAGAAGCTCCATCTACACTGCTAAAATTGCTTGTAACATGGGAAATTATGGGATTGTTAGGACAAGCAGGGACTGAGCCTTTTATTGCCACGTCATCTAGACCTGTTCCAAGCAGGATTAGTTCACAGTGGTAAAAACAGCCCAGTCTATACAACTCAACTGCAGCTGGAGAGAACAAAGGTGGGTGATTTTGGAAAAGGGTTTAGTGCAGGCACCCCCATCTACAACAGCCAGTGAGTGTGTTAGGCTGTGTCTACACTGCAAGCACTACAGCAGCACCGCTATAGCACAGATACTTGCTACAGCACCAGAAGGGGTTATTCTGTTGCTGTTGTAAATCCACCCCCTCCTCCCCCCAGAGGTAGTAGTTAGATTGACTCTGTCAACGTAGTGGTGTCTATAGTCTGGCTGGGGTCAATTTAACGGTCTTTCAGGGAATGTGAATTTTTCACACCCTTGAGCAACATAGCTAGATTGGCCTAGATTTTAAGTGCAGACCAGTCCTTAGAAACTGATTTAGATGGGATTATGTTGAACAAGTTCTCTGACTTGACTTCTAGTCCAGTGTAGACTTGTCCAGAGACATGGGAAGGATTCTAGGGGAAAAGCATAATGTTATAAACTGATGAGAACATAACCGAGCCTTTACACATTAATGACAGAAACTACTAGCACCAGGATTAAACACGGTTTCAGTTCACGCATTTTGAACGGTAAAAGCAAGACCTTGAATGTGACATGGCTATTGACAAGAAATATGCAGTCGGCATCTGAAAACACACAGAAGTAAATAGTCACATTTCAGCACTACCCTATATAGCATTGGTCTCCTGGAGCTAGGGCTGGTAATGAGCCGAAATGAGTTTATACTGGCACCAGGATAGATGCTGTAACCCAAGGCAGAGTTCCCACGCGTTCAGCAAGCCCCAGCCTGGCTTGGGAAGCTTTCCCAGAGGAGACGCACTAAACAAGATCGGTATTTGCGGCAGGTCCCAACCTAGCAGCCGATCTCCCCCCCACAGGGGGCTGTGACCACGGGGAGGCCCGGCAGCGGCTCCAGCTCACCTGCTCACGCCAGCACAGCGGGTCTCGGCTTTTCCCCTTCAGCGGGCGCGGCCCGCCCCGCACTCCGCGTGGCCGTAGGCGCCCATTGGGTCTGCAACCAAAGACAAGCCTTGCCCTAAGCGGCTGAGAGGCAGGGCCCCACCCCGGCGCGAGGCCGGGCAGACCCGGCACGCCAGGGCCGGCTCACCACAGGCCGCGCGGAGCCTGGCCGCACTCAAACGCGCGGGGCAGTTCCGGCAGCTGGCGCGGGCCCGGCCCCTCAGCCCCGCCCCGGCACCAGGCGCACGTGGGCCCCAAGCGGCTCCGTGGGGGGTTGCTCGCGCCCCTCACTTACCGGCCGCTACAGAGCGAGGCCCCGGTAGCCCCGCCCCCTGCAACGTCCAGTCGCGTCCCCGGCCTAGGCCGGCCTGTGCGACTGCGCAGCTTCCGGCACGTGGGAAGCAGCGGCCCCTGGGGAGCGAGGGGGCAAGGTCAGGCGCAGTTAAGCCGGGGGATGCGTGGGGCACGGTCACGTGCAGCTCCGAGTGCGTGACGTCACAAACCACGCCCCCATGGGGGTCATACGCCTCTTCCCGCCGCAGCAGGGCAGTGACCGGAGGTCCCTGCTCCTCCTCCGGGAGAGCGACCGAGACACGGACCAATCCCCCCCCGCCGCGGGAAGGGACAGACCGACACCCAGCCACGGGGGACAGAGATCCTGCTCCCCCCTGAGCACAGCTGGGCGGGGAGGACACGGGGGAAATCCACCCGCGCCTGGAGCAGGGAGCGAACCGCTCCCCTTCTCCCCGCTGCACAGTTCAGTCAGTGGCGCGTTATTGGCTTGGCAAAGTATAACTATTGAAAGAGACTGGAAAGCTCTGGTCTCTGCGGGGGAGAGATACATCAGCGTTTGTCCCGGGGACCGTGTGTTGTGGGTTTTACCCCCCCGACCCATTGAACATCTGTATGGGACAGCCCCCGGGACGGGACTTCCCTCTTGGTTTTAATACCTTGTATTCTTTGTCATTCCTTCCCAATACTGATTTAGTGGCAGCTGACAGGCTGCTTCTGCCAATCCTCCCTCTCCTAGACTTCTGCAATTTTTCTTCATCTCTGTTTAACTGAAAGTGAGCATCCTATCAGATATTTTAAGGAAATCTCTCACACACACTGTGGTGAGAAAATTTGCTACTGTGATGATTCTGGGTGTGGATTTATAGGTTGTAGATTGTTTTTTCTTTTAAGTTTGTATTTGTTCCTCTCAATAACTCACATATCAGTGTGCTAAGCTGTGTTCTGTTTCAAAGGAGGTTGTATGCTTCATTTGTCAGAAGGGTAGTGTTGAGACTTGGTAGTAATGTTATATAGCATCAGCTTTTTATTTGGATTTGGTTTTTGAGCTTTAGTGCTTTATGGTTGAGGGATGGACAATATGTTGGCACCAGAACTCAATGCATGTTCCTGTAAATAGATTAGGAGAGGGAAATGACTCAGTTCTACTCTGAAGCTATTGACGTTTGAGTTTCAGTGTGCATAGAGGATTTGTTTTCAGAGCTTTAGATACGGGGTTTGCATCTGTGTTTTGTCTCAGTTGGTGTAGTTGGATGTTAAAGTTTGGCCCCATATGTAGAATGATTTTGAATAACTGTGTTGAATAGTTTCACAATAGTATTTATGAAGTGCTGCTATTACATTATTTTAATGCTTTTATAGCCTATGTGTGATGCTGCTTTGTAGTTTTATTATGAGGTTTAGATATGTACAATTTAAGGTGTATTCAGTTTCTTTATCTCTGTAATAAAATTTTAGTTATGATTATGGTTTGAGCTTTTAATCTTTTCCAGAGTGACCAATGGAGCCCATGTTTTTGCTTTAAGTTTCTAGCAAGTGTAAACTCTTTTTCAGGGACTTTCTGAGTGAGAAGTCATACAGTAGACATTATGGGCCATCTTTCTAGGACATAACATAGATAGGATAGGCATTTTTTTTTCAGTTATTGTGGCTTTGTTTAATAATTTAGTAGAGGCATTTCATAGATCATTAATATTTATGATGACAAAAAGTAGGATTAAGGTTGCATCCTTTTTTAGCCTTCTTTCTTGTCTGAAAGCCTGTTTTCAAGGTTTTTTTTTTAATGTACATGGATTTGATTGTCTCAACTTTTCCCGTCATTTCTATTTTGTAACCATTTACTGCTCATGGCTGGGTGCTATTTTAAAGTCTATAAAGCAGGTAAATATCCCTCTACTCTCAGTTTTTACTTGTAGGTTTATGGTCTTCTGTTTGTTGACGATGTAGTCAGCAGCTTGTTTCTCAGGGAGGAATCCAATCTGTCTTTGTGTTGTTGCTCAGGTATCTGTCACATTCTTTTATTGGAGATGTCACCGGATAATTTGCAGATGTTCTTACACAGATGTCTGTGTTTGGCTTGAAAAAATGTTAACTTTTGTGCATTAAAGTAAATAGTGTGTGACTAGAGACACTCCCTAGGTATATCAGAGGAGGAAGGAAAACAAGAGTTATGAGAGAGGGGAATGTTTGGGAAGAAATTCTTTCCCCTCCTCCCAAACACATAGGTAGGAGATAAGCAAAAGTTTGGGTTAGAAGGAGGGAAACTTCACATTGCACATACATATATGGAGAGCAAACTCTTGCCCTGCCCTCCAGTGGAAAAGTTGATGTGACAGGTAGACCATTCTATATGCATGGTGGGAGCACAGTCCAGAGATGGGGGCAAAGGGCCATTGCCCTTCCCCCCTTTTTTTAAACAGGCCCCTGACCAGAGCTGTCCGGTGTACAGGCAACGTTCCTTCCCTGCTGGCATGATGGAGGAGTTGCTGGGTCAAATTTAAGTGTGTGACCCCATGCCTAGTGCATGAGGTTGCAGCACCACTCTAATATTGGACAGTCACTCTTCTGTTGTGAGGGCTCCTGTCTCCAGGTCAAATCTGAGTGAGTGGCATTGCGACTGGGTTGGAGGTGACACACAGAAGTTGTGCCAGTTTAACTAAAATTGATTTAACCAGTTTGGTTTAGTTAAACAGTGCAACCCCCATACATGTACACCGGTCTACAACTGACCATGTTGGTTTAGCTTGCATTGGTAACTCTTAAAAAACAATTTTATTAAATAGACACAAAGCTTGAGACATTGTTTTCCATTATTCCCCCTTACATGTACGCATGCACACTGGATGAGAAGAGAGGAGGTTTTCTGATGTGATTGTGAAATATATTCATTTCAGGATAATTTTTACATATCTAATTTAATTTCAGGACACAGGCCTCTAGTCCACCTTCTTTTAAAGTATGCTTTAGTCACTCAATAATTACAACTATAGTTCAGATTCAGTAAAAATCTATTTCCACATCCTCATACATTTCTTTTTGGGCCGAAACTTTCCATTCCTGAAGTATAATCAAAGGTGAACGTTTTGTGCATGTAAGATATTTGAGAAAAATCCCTTTTATCCTTTTATTTGCAAGTATGTGGAAAACATTGTCACACTTTTTTTTTTAAACATACAGAGAACTTTAAAATGACTGGACCGTGAAGCTTGGTTTGTAAATAGTCCTTGGCGAGAAGCATGTTCAGGACCAAGTTGGAAAGAATTGGCTTGAAAATAGTAACAAATGTTTGGAAATAGCATACTGGGAATGGAGTTTAAAAAAAATTTCACGCAAACTGAGATTATGCTCTGTTCATTTGTGCCTTTCACAAGTATGCACCCATCAATGCAAGTTAAATAACCATTGGCTGGTGCCGCCCACCTAGACTCAGGGGTTCTCAGGACAAAATTTTTGGTGGCCTCAGAATGTGGCCACCAACTCTTGCTGGTGGCCGTTCTCACACTTTTCCTTAAAATACTAAATTAGCTTTAGGAAAAAAATAAATATGCACATATACACATCCAAATCATTGTAATGTTTATTGCTAGCTAATAAGCATGTTGTGAAAAGTGATATTAACAAACATGCAAGTATCACTTTTCACAGCAGACTTACTCAGCCCTGGCAAGCCTGAGGACAAATTAAGCCCTGGAGGGTGGGGAGGAGGGCTGAGGGAGGCAGCAAGAAGCTGCAGCCTGAAGCCCTGTGGCTGGAGGACTGAGTCTGAAGCTGCACAGCCAGAAGCCGAGAGCTGGAGCCCGAAGCCCCACAACCAGAGCCTGCCCCCCTGCAACCTCAGGGCTAAAGTCCAAACCGCTCCTGGGAAGGTGGAGAACTCACTGGCTGCCTGCTTCTCCAGCATTGTGTGTCAAGTGTCTTGGGAGTGGGGAGGGGTGGAAGGAGGGAGACTCCTGCTTGTAGCCCCCACAACCAACACCAAGGCGGTACATCCAGGAGCACTAGGGAGGGGAAGGGGCCGCTGCTTTGCTCTCCTCCCGCCCATAACAGTCCAGGAGGCTGTGGCTGCAAGAAAAGCCCCTGGTGGCCACATTTGAGAAACACTGAGCTAGATGGCCATTGCACGCTGTGCTCTGACAGGTTGAATATGAAGAGCAGGCACCATCTGACAAGCCTAACTCTTAATGTTTCATCTCTCAGGGGACACTTTTTGTACCATTGTTATTTTTTTCTCTTAAAAAACCTTAATTTTTTAAAAAAAAGAACAGGAGTACTTGTGGCTCTTTAGAGACTAACAAATTTATTAGAGCATAAGCTTTCGTGGACTACAGCCCACTTCTTCGGATGCATATAGAGTGGAATAAATATTGAGGAGATATATATACACACATACAGAGAGCATAAACAGGTGGGAGTTGTCTTACCAACTCTGAGAGGCCAATCAAGTAAGAGAAAAAAAACTTTTGAAGTGATAATCAAGCTAGCACTGTACAGACAGTTTGATAAGAAGTGTGAGAATA